CAGGGGGGTCTCCTGTCACCCCGGGCTCGACTACCCCCCGCACCCATCCCACGTACCTTCACGCGATGCCCGTCTCCAGCACTTCCTCGCTTTTGGAAGGCAAATTCTTGTTCAATGTATCCATCTCTTCTGCTTTTCTCTTCCTACGCTGCTTCCGACAGTGGCTGGGGGGGGGTGTTAATAATTAAAACCAAAAAAAAACCCCAAAACTCAAAAAAACACCAACCAGAACTTCAACCTTTGTGCAGATGGGGATGGGACCACACATGGTTTCCAGCCCCGATGCCCCACACACCTCCCCGCACCCTCAGAGGCCGTGTCCCACCTGAACCCCAAATTCAACCTGCCCCAAGCCAGTGGAGATGGGCAGGATTCACTCTCAATCTAGGGCTACCCCTTCCCTTCCCACCCCTCGCCCCGTCCCCGCCACGTACTGACTGCAGAGGCAGGCGCAGATGATGAGGACGATGAGGGTGACGATGGCGGCGATCAAGGAGATGATCACAATCTGGCCCCGGTCACCTCGCAGGTAGAAGATGTCCACCCTCTCGCAGCGAGCCCCCGTGTAGCCTCGCTCGCACCTGCCCCACGGCACAGGGGAGGCAGAGGGGTCCGAAAAAATGCCGTGGTGCCCATGCCCCCCTCCTCCCACTGCCCCGGGGATGATGGGCACGGCATCCCCGCCCCGTGCCACCTGGTGGTGGCTTACACGCAAGCTGGCGCCTTCTCGGCCACGAGGAAGCGGCACCTCCCTTTGACGCAGTAGTGCTTGTACTCCTCCGGACACCTGGAGAAGTGACCCTGCTGCCTCAGCTGCGTCATGTTCCCTGGGGGTGACAAGGACAAAGAAATTCCCCCCCCTGGGAGTTACGGTTGTGCTCAGAGGCAGCAGCATCCCAGAGCTGGTCTGAGCCTGGTTGGCTGCAAAGAGCTGCCGGCACTGGTTGCTTCCCAGCTCGGTGGATGCCACACAGCTATGCTAGACAAAACACCCTGCCTGTCCTCCAACCCAGCCCTCTCCCTGGCACCACCCAGCTCCCATCCAATGCCACCGGTTCCTCCGAGCATCCTTACCCGTGCAGCTCTCGGCTGCGCCGCAGGCGAGCCCCTCCATGCTGTGGCCGGCAGTGACGTTGGTGTCAGCACCCACGCAACTGAAAAATGCCAAGCCTGAAATACAGCAGAGGTGGCTCAGAGGGGGAGCCTGGCCAGAGCCCCACCATCCACCACCACCACCCCACTGCAAGCTGCTCTCCTGGCTCCTTCTGTAGGGAGGGGACCGGCAAAGGGCTCCACAGCTGTGCCCACAGCCCCCCTTCCCTAGCAGCATCAGCTTTTCCCCGGGGCGAGGAGAAGGTTAAGTCAGTCCCTGACTGCCTCCTCCACCCACCGACGCCCCAGCATGGAGGTCTGGGAGCCAGCAGGGTGGGTTTCGGGGGGCACAGCCCTGCCTGCAGGCAGCCAGCAGCTCCTTTGCCTGGGGAGGATGCAGGGAGGGATCCTCAGGGAGGTTCAGCTTGCTGTGCTGCCCTTTTTGAAGAGCCTGGGTTTTGGGGTGACCAAGAAAACATGCCAGCCATGGGAGCAAGGAGGCATCAGCGCTGCGATTCAGCACCCACCAAAGCCCAGTTGCTTCCAGTGAAAGTGCTAAATCCCCATTGCTCACTGCTGCGCTGGGACATGGGATGCCTGGCATGAACCGAGCCAGGAAAGTGGTGACCACGCTCGTCGTGGCCATGGGACGAAGCTGAGCGCCAGCTCAGCCCTGGCACGTCACCGCGGTGGTAACCGGATCGCTGGCATACCAGCACTGACTCAGCACAGCCCTGCTCCCAGCCCAGCCCTCCCCAGGGATTCACACCGCTGTGGTGGCACCCAGGGGAGCGGGGACAGGTCCTGCCTGATGGGGCACAGTGCTGGGTGGCTCCCACGGGGACGTGGCACGCCAAGGCAGGGAGTATTTTCATCCCGAGTGGGTGCACTTCGCGGCTCAGCCACGTCAAGGCCTGCCGGAGAGGGGGGAGTTTGGGCAGCCGAGCCTGGGCAGCCTTATGCCCCACGTCCCATGGCAGGGACGTTCCCTGCACATGCGTCCCTCCTAGCTATATATAGCCACCGCCGTGCTAACGATGTGCTTTGGGTAACAGAGCTGAAACGAGGCTGAGGCTGAGCCTCCGCCAGGGCTTCTCCACCAGCAAACTTCCCCTCCCCAGCAAAAAGAGCCCAGCAGGGAGGAGATGGAGCCCACCACCCGGTCTGGCCCAGGCAGTGGGGTGGGAGCTGCCCAGTGGGAGCCAGGGGATGAGCCACGGGGCGGCTGCCCACCTAGGAACCATCTGCGGGCGACGTGGGCACGCAGCGGCACAGGGTGGGAGGCTGACTTCACCCCCGGTGATCGAGTTCACAGCTCAGCACGGAAAGATCCCCACCAAGACGA